AGGGTTTGGATGTGGGAGACAGGAGGAGAAGGTATCCCAAACCGGGGTCAGTGCTGTGGGAAACCACGCTGGGCTGGAGAAAGGCACAAGCCTGAGGCAGACTCACCCCTGAAGGACCTGCCTTCTCTAAAGAAATGATGCCGGGGAGGGGGAAGGGGGCCCTCACCTGGCCACAAGCTCCCCTTCCCTGCGACCTCCCCTTCCCTGCTACCGTTAGCACCGAAGTGAGTCAGGGCACCCACTGAGGCATGTCTTCTTGGGGAACAAGGATCCATAATAAACTGCTCTCCAGTCAACTGTGACTCGGCCACTGGGGAACACCATTCCCTGGGGTGACCCGCCAACACCTGTGAGGACATGACCAAAGTCACCAGCCCACAAGGCCAGGAAACACAGAGGAAGCAGGCCAGTCCGCCCCTGGCATTCAATCCCCACCAGATGGAAGCCCAGGGTCTCCAGGCCTGGACCGCCCATTTGTAAGTTCTGCCTGTAGCCAGACCCCGGCGCTGGGCAGAGTGAACGAGTGAAGGGAAGAGACAGGGCTTGGTGCTTCGGCTGGGCCCACGTCGGCCCCTTCTGCTGTCACCATGTGACCACTACACCAAACGACTCAGTAAAAACTGCAAACGCCACCCACAGATGGTGCAGAGATGAGTCAGGGGTTTGGGAGGAACACCTTTGGAAGCTGGGAAGCCTTTAAAGGAAGGGACTGTCTCCCTAGTGACAGGCCTACACATTGCTTGTTGATCTGTGAACGGCATCTTGGCCGGTCTGATTCAGAAACCGTCCCCCATCCCTACCCCACCCACCACCCCGGGTGGCTGACCTACACCGAGCCTGGCACTTCTCATCCCAGGCTGCGCTGCCTCAGCCCTGCCGCTCTACAGCACGTCCTCACACAAACACCAAGAACTGAGAAAGATCCAAGTAAGAGACTCCCCACAAAACTCCAAATCACCACCAGTACGTTTATTTGAGGAAGAAACAGTCCAATCGTATCAGGGACTTTTAAACTGGGTAGGACTAGAGGCACTGACCTGCCTAACTTCTGAGTGTTCACAAGTGCACAGGGAACCAGATCCCGCACACGCCGTCACCATTAGCAGGTGCGCATTCGATGAGGGACACATTCTGAGCGGCCACGTGATTTCCCTTTCAGAAGGTGCTGCCTTCCCATTGGAAAGTAGTGTTGAGAAAACAAAGGCAGAACCAGCCACAGCTTCTAGCACAGGCCTGGGCATGATGGTGGGTGGCTCGTGGCAGGGGATCACGCCCTATTTACAAGCAGGAGAGTGGTGCTCCCAGCTGAGCTGCAGGGGGAGCTGGGGCTGACTGGGGTGAGTGGGGTGGGACCTGACCTCAAGAGCCTGTTCCCATCCGACCTGGGCCTCTGCAGCCTCTGACCCGCAACAGGCAGACCTGGTACAGCTGTGAAGCAAGGGGATTCTGCCCCGTTCTCCAGCCCCGCCCCACCTCCCCCAGGCCTAACAGGTGACCGGGCCCTGGGTGCAGCCTCACCCCACTCAACCCCGCCTCTGGACAGACACAGGGCAAACATGGACGCCGAAGCCCGGCTGGGCTGCAGCACATCTAGGTGTTGCTGGGTTGGAGTCGTCTTACAAGGGCCCGAGCTGGTCAGGCCCCACCTGCGGTGGCCAGGCTGAGAGGGCCAGGCTGAGCCGCGGTTTTAGTGATTCAGGTTACTCCAGGGCAAAGGACGATCCTGATGACACCCGGCGGAAAAGGAGGCTGGAGCCGCGGAAGAGCTGGCCCTGAATGGGAAGGAACAGTCGGTCAGTGAGAGGGGAGGCCGCCTTTCACACCTGCCCCGAGCAAGGCCAGTGTGAGGCAAAGAAGGGCCCAGCAGCTCAGAGCTCAGGGCCGAGGCTGCATTCCTGAAGGGCAAGGTCACAACCGGCCCTGTGCTGAAGTGGTTCACTGGCCACTTCATGCCACAGGGTGTCCACTGTTGATGGGCTACTCAGTAGGCACCCCCCAAAGAGGAGCATCCTTCTGGTCCGGGGCTCCTCCACTGCCCACAGGACGTGACGCACAGGGAACACACTGGCTCACTGGGAAGAACTGCACCCGGCTCTGGCCTCCCTCCCCCCTCCCATCTGTCCTCTCGCTAACCCGAGGTCAGCCCGTGCACGGCCTCTCCCCAGGCACTGCCTCATTCACAAGGCAAATCAAGGCTAGGAAGGCAAGGATCTGCCCTAGACACCAGGAGCCCTGACTTGGGGCCCAAGGGCTCCAGCCAGTAGGAAGGCGCTGGGGCAACACCAAACCCCAAGCCTGCCCCCTCACCAGGCTCAGCACGTGGCCCAGGTCCACCCTCAGGCTCTCCTGGGCACCAGGGTGTCCCGAGGGAGGGCTCGTGGCCCAACCCCACGGCTCCATCTCCAGCGTCTCATCGAGGTGTCAGACGGTGTGTGCCGCCTCCCCGTGCCCCCCTCACACTTGATCTAGAGTCTCTAAGAGTTGAAGAAAAGGGGACTTTTTCTGATGTAAATTTTTAAGTGAACTCAGATCTAACTACCTCAAATCCTAAAATAAAGTGAAAAGTCAATTTAAATGTCTTAAACCAAGTCTACATTTACATTCTCTTTATCCTCCTCACAACACTGGATTCCATGGCAACCCCTCATCTTTCCACGCAATGAAGCACCCACAAAGCTCACCTGCATGCTCAGGTACTTCCAGCAGTGAATCCACGACTTGAACACGGGGGAGTAGGGAGGGAGCCCGGCCTGCAGCCTGCCAGGGAAGGGGAGCATGTTAGACCCAGATAGCCCAGGAGGTGATCACCAAGGAAAGGTCTGGAACTGCCACTACCCACATCTGAACCAGTCACCCCAAAGGGTGTGTTGAACCCAGAGGAGCCAGGGTGCCAGGCGGGATGTCAGGCCCAGACGGGAGGGGGCAGAGCGCTGGACGGGCTCAGCTGGGTGCCCCCAGCAGCCTTGGCAGAGTGCCTGGTGGAGGGGCGCACACCTACCCACAGTTGTTCACAGCCATGAGGTCACCGACCAGCAGGAAGGGGTAGGTCAGCATGCTCACTGCAATCTGAAACCCAGGAGACCTGCGTGTCAGTGACCCCTCGCCAGCCCCACCTGGGCCCAGGGAGCAGGGGCACACTGTGCCAACTTCCTACACCACGGCCGGCCCCCAGCCACCACCAGAGCTGCCCTCCCCACCCCTCCCAGGCCCATGGGGCAGTGGGAAGGGTGGCTGACTTGACTTACCCCCATCACAAACTTGGTGTAGCTGCGGATGGCCAGGGCCTGGCTGAACTGAGGAGACAGAAAGGAAGACCGGTTTGCCACAGACACCTCAGGATGCACACGCAGATCCCTGCCACGCTGCCTGTCCTGGCCTTTCACCCCGGCCCACCCTGGCCTCACACACCCCTGTGCACACTGCGTTCCTTTTGGGGCCTGCCAGCAGCTTCCTGGCCTTAGAGCAGAGCCACGAGAAGATCTGGGAGGCAGGAGTGGGACAGCCAGATGAAGGGATTCCCGTGGCCCCACTGGGGACGGTGAGGAGTGAAGGCCAGGCAAGGGGACCCCCGGCTGCTGGCCTGCGCAACCCCACTGGGCTGTGTGAGCTCCGAGGCCTTGGCCAGTGTCTGAGGCGTGGCACACAGTGCTCAGTAAGTGCTTGCCGACTAGAAGAGCCAGCCACCTGAACCACCCAGGCACAGAATCCGTCCTAAAGCAAAATGGGGGGAAGCCTGGGCTTCCTGCCCACTTCAGACCTCAACCTTGCCCAGGAGAGGGGACTACCTATCCTTCAGCAGCCTGTGGCATGGCCATCCCACCAGATGGATGCCCTGCACCCCTGGGTGCAGGTCTGCTCAGCCCTCTGCCCAAGTGGCAGCTTTATCTTAGCCTTTAAGCCACACAGAAAAGCACTTAAAAGTACTTTCAATGGAGCTGACTGCTGTTGTTGGAGGCTAAATGCAGCAGGCCCTGGTCAAACACCTGCCCACCTAGACTAGAGGGACCCAATCAGTTGTGGGCTACCCCCTCCACCCCAGCTTCCCAGTCTGGCATTCTCTGATGGCAGCAGCTCCCCCACCCACGAGGCCCCTGAGAAAGGGCAGGGCCATGGCTTCTGTAACTGCAGATGGAAGCTGGTCTCTGCAGCGCCTTTGAATTTGCTCACTTTGAAAGGCCACTAAGACACCTACCCAGGCCGACAATTTCCCTGAGCGGAGGCTCTCAGTGGGGGCTGGGCTCCTCGCCAGACACACGCCCAGACACACACAGAACTGCCCAGACACAGACACATGGAGACTATG